TTCCTTCTTTTTTAACATTTTTTTTTTTAATTGGCATTGCCTTTCCTTGCAAAGAACAAGAAAATAAGTAGAAAAAAGCAAATCCCATGACACCAGGAACAAGGAGCAGATTCTGGAAATATCCTTACCTTTCTGCATACCCAGCCCTCGGATAGCAAGGGGGAAAAAGAAAGAAGTTAATAATAAGAGGCTTCTTAGCTCTGCTCTAAATTTTTTACCTCTTCTAGCCATTCCTGAAACAGTAACTTGTGCAGAAGACATAAATTCAGAGTGCCTGGCTCAGCCACTTGCTCTTTCTCACCACAGTTTGACTTTAGCATGTTGTCTTCAAAGAAGCTTGATCCTGGCTTCCACTGCAAGGGATGGCTGCCCCTCACATCAAACTTCACCCTCTTTGTAGCCATGGTATAGATGTGAGATAGATAATGATGTCCTGGTTCCAGCAAGCTACTTCTGAATCAGCTTTCTTGTCACCTTCACCAACCCTAAATATATTGTCCTAAGGATTTTTGTCCTAAAGGGAGAAGGTAGGTTTCCCATCTCCTTTCTGCCAAATTCAGAGTCAGGGTCGTGGTGATCACCAGGCTGCTGTGCATGCACAGCTGAAGTAGAGAAATAGCAAAAGGAGCAGAAGAAATGACATCAGAGATGCCTGCTCCCACCTGCAAAGAAGCCCTGTTCTTTAATCTTTGATTAAAGATCCTGCTCAGGCTGGGACTTCATCATCTTCTGAGAGAATTTTTATAATCTGGGTTGACAGCGAAAGAAAGTGAGCACCCTCGTACAGAGCCTCAGCTACTTACCAAGCCAACTCTCTCTGCCCTCTCCTAGCTCAAATCCATGGCAAATCTTGGGCTTGATCTGTAAAGTGTTAGTGAATCATTTGTCAGTAACATCAGGATTTTCACATCTTCTTTTGGTCCTTCGAGGCTACTCTGCACATACAGGGCACTGTTAGCTAAACAAGGCCAAAGACTCAGCTTGGAACTCTATGACATAAAGCATCCCTAGCCAGAAGTTTCATTTTGGAATCGCTTGCCAGCAGAGGCAGGAGTGAAATGTTTAATCAAGAGGTTAGAACCTGCAGAATAGCAAGATATTCCCTGTGCACCCTAAACCCTTTATAATTGATGAATTCTTTCAGCCTTTCACATGCTTTTATTCCAGGTTCAAATTTTGCTGTTTTATTTCTTGGACTAAGGAGACAAGTGCTTCATTCATAATAAGGTTTATTGACAGGGCTCAAAGTGTGCTTCTGTTGGAATGCAGATTATTGGGATCAGCCTGAGTTCCTTTTCCTGTTATCTCTCTTCACGTTTGTCCTTCCTCGCATCTTCTCTGTGGTGTGCTTGCCAATACGAGCTTAGTTTTTTCCTTTTCATTTGGCACATGGATCCTTTCTCTCAAGCAGCTTCAGTCCCTAACTTGCTTTTCTCCAGCCTGTCATCTCCTACTAATTATCCAGTTGTACACATTGCATAACTTCATCATAGTAATATATTGTTTGTATGTGCATGTTTTCCCCCTCCTCTGGGTATTTCCAAGATATCTGTGAGTTGAAGAACAGCATGGAAGACTGAACTTGTTGGTAGACCACACAAAAACATCTGACAGAAAGAAGACATCTTTCCTTTATTCAGTTGGCAGCTTGTTATCTCTCTCAGAACAAGGTTTAATGCTAATTTATTGCTAATAAAGAAACTGTGGAGTTCTTAGACACATTAAAAGGTAAAAGTTCTTAGGTCCCAGTATTAGATAACAAGTCTCTGATCTCAAACAAAGAAACAGAACAGAAGTTGAGTATTGAGTTACTGGAAGTCACTTTTTCTTCAGGCAACATGTTTACTGTGGAACAGTGCTGAAAAATAAGCAAAGACATCTTTAAAAAAACCTCCACCATATTCTTCACTTGCCATTTTTGAAATTAAGCATAGAATCATAAAGTGGCAAATATTAATTCATTATTCAGTAATTTACAAAATTATTTCCATAAATCATTGGAACCACATTGAAATATCTGATGTTGCATACAGAACTATAAAGCCAGATGTAATAATGTATTTCCCTTTTAGTAGTGTTAGTGTAATATTTTGGGACTTGAAAAAAAAGTATTTTATTAATCCACTCTCCAGAGCACCATATTTGGGATAACCTAAAGGGTTGATACTTCCATAAGGAGAATTTTCAGAAAGATTTTGTTATTTAAGTCTTTTTGTACCCAGTGGAAACAAGGATATAAGAAGGAATCTGTGTTCCAGATTGACAGCTTTGCTCCTGCATTTTGAACTAGATTTCACAGGCGCTTAAGTCTTGTTGTTAAAGTTTTGCTTCCTCCTATGTATCTGTGTTGGAGTCAAGTCCTAAGGCACCTCTGTCTTTAAAGGGTGGAGTAGGTTAGTCTCCTCTTTCCAGCCTGTGTGGGAAAATCCAAATGTTTTTATAGGTTAAATTAATTGCAACTGCTGTCTTCTCTATCCAAGTGGTGTTCTCTGAGGATGGAATATTGCAGCATGGTGCAGAGGCCACCATGCCCTTTTCCTTTTAAACACAAGGGGAAGGAAAGACTTCTGCTCTTGTTTTTCTAAGTAGAAGAAACAGTGCTTGGAGGATAACTCAGAGATATGCTTTTTGAGTGGAGAAAATACACCGCTTCTTTTTTTTTTTTTCTGTTTCCTTTTGCACACTTAGGTGAGCTCAGCCTTTTGCATTTTGTAGGTCTGTTTGGAGGTATATATGCAGTATGTGTTGTATGGAAAGGAAAGGAGCCACCTGGAGACTCTGGGGGCAGGTGTCTAAATTCTGGTGTGAATCTCAATGCTTTGCACTCACAATGAGAGTCACAGCCTCAACATTGCTAAAATGAAAATTCAGTAGGTGTTTTGTGATTATAGCGTAAACAACCAACGCGGTTAGTCAAGATAAGCTCATACAGTTTTGAATATTAAATCTCAGCTGCACAAAAGGAACTGTTTCTGTGAGATTAGTTGTTTTCCCTGATCCAAGTTTCCACATTCCCTGTGCCATAAAAATCTTTGCCTCTTGTGCCGATGAACGAGATTAATCTTCCAAAACCTTTTGAATAGTATCTGTAATACTACATCATAAAATAAATAAATAAACCTACCACATAGTTCCCTGGTTTCAAACTTTGCAGATTCAGGGTTCACTAAGAAGTCATCTCTCTTTTTCCTTTAAAAGAAGACAACCATATAGAATAATAGAGTTCTCTGTCTAGCATACAAACCCATCTGGAAAGAATTTAGTCTGCAATAATTGTGGGCATTTGATTTAGCTTTAAATCCCTGTAGGTAATTCAAATGTAAATTTATTGGGGTGAGTTTATCCCCAAGCCGCCATTGGATCCAATGCTTCAGAGATGAAATTGGCCCACTGTGCTAAAACTACAGCCTGCATTGTTTCTGTTGCATCAGGATATTACTACATGCTGTAATATCTGCTGTTATAAGCAGGCCCTTACTGGAAATAAAGTCAATAGAGACAACACAGACAATCACCTGTATTAAATTTATTTTTCAGACCTTGATAGACTATGGATAATTCTTGGATTATGAATATGTTTATATACCAGTATCTAAATCACTCAGACAACACCGGTCTAATTTGTTATTCTGTTATGCTGTACTCATATGAAATAGTCCTTTTGGTCAAGTAAAATTCTATGCATTTCACATTCTGCTTCAGAAGAAAGTCTAATGTTTCAAGAGGCATTCAGCACATAATGTAAACAATGCCATCTGTCTTTTTCTTTGGAAAATCTTCTTCAAGATAGCCCTGATATGCCTACTGTTTTCAATCACTTAAAAGGCAGTAATCCAATTATATCATCCTCTATGTAGGAACTGCCATTGCTTTCAGTCCACTTCCAATCCTGACACAAGTAAATCACTTTGATAAGATCCTCTTTTTATTTATTTTTTTTCTGAGGAGACTAGCATAAGTAATGATGCCAGTGATAGACCAAGGACAAAATGACCATAATGGACTTTCTGTAGGAAAGGAAAACATGTGCCACTGTGATTTATCATGTTACTTGAAAAATATTTTTCCTTGGAATTTCTGGAACAGACTGACTCTCTAAGCAAAGGGTGTTAGCAAGTATGAATGGACAAATGGTAAATTCAGACAAAACATTCATCAAGTAGCAGATTTAAACAACTATTACTACTTAGATTTCTTAAACAGGAACAGAACGTCAAAGCCATTTTGGAAATGTGCCTAGGTCATTTTCATCTTTGGTATAATGCCACCTACTTACATGGAAATGCGCTTGGAACGTGTAAAGTTGAATCTTCCTTACGAACTACTAAGGCTTATCGTTCAGATATGCCTTCCTTCTATTTAAAAATTGTTTGGGTGACTTCAGTGATTTGTGCTACCAGGGAGGCAGAGGCCTGGCAGACACATCTGACCTCCCAGAATAGATGTGGCACGAGATCAGTAGTATCTGCAGACTTCCTGCTACAAACTGCCCTCCACTCTGATGCTGAGAGCATAGAGAGCATAGGCAGAGCTGAGTTGTCTCTGGACACACCTATCTTTGCCCCTGCTTTCAGAAAAAGGGAAAAGCAGCAAATGAGGTGGTCATGTGCACTGCAAAAGCTTGTTTGAAAGGAGCTGGACCACAGGTGTCTCTTTGAACCCAGACTCATCACTCAGCACAAATAACTGCAGAGTTTGCATTTTCAAATTTATGAAGAGTGCTGGTCTGATATTCACTGTCTGAGACCACATCCAGGATGCACAGTAGGAAGTTCATTCTGCTGAAAAAGCTGGTAAGCGGTGATCCGCAATATTAAAAAAAATGCAGGCCAAATCTGGCATTTCCAATGTCATGCTATGTGGTAAGTCTTTTGTTAAGTAACTTTGGACAGACTGTGTGAGAAAGCTGTGATCTGGACAGGAAAAGGCCTACACTTACCTTAACAAAATAAGATGCTGTTTAGGATGGTATTGATATATTAGGTTGTTTCCTTTTACAGAGAAAGTGTGGAGAGCCTTATCCAAAAGCATTCCTATGCTCGATCCCCCATTCGGACCTATGGAGGAGAAGATGATCTTGGAGATGACAGCCAGGCAACACAAAGCAGAGGTAGGAAAACGTGCTCATGATGCAAACTGTGGTGACTCAGTTATTCTTGAGAAAAGCAGGACCACAGGCAGTACCACAGTACTCTAAAGCATTTCTCTGGTGTGTCTCTTTGCCATGAAGTCATATATTGCAAAGAATATTTGTTACCTTTTGGCATTTTGGGACATCTGATATGCCCACAGCACTGTGGGTGGTTCAATTAGGAGGCAGTTCTAGAGATGATCACATAATCTTTGCCATCAGAAGAGAATTAGTTCTGCTTCTTCTTCAAGATGCCTGCAAACCAGAAAACTTCATTACTGTGGTGCTGAGAACAAGTTAACACTCCCCATCTCTTGGCAGGACTTACTAGCTGGGCTCCACACCACTTGTGTAGATGTGCCACTTGCTGCCCCTCCAGCCTTCTGTGAACAGAGGACAGTTCTAACCATCTTCAACCAGCCTGTGGTTAACCTGCTTTTCTTCCTCAGGAAGAAAATTTGGTAGCTCCCTAAGGAAGAAAATTTAGTAGCTCCCTAAAAAAAATTATGTTTAATTGTTATCTTTTTGTTTCTTAAAGGTGTTGTTCCTGCTGAAGCAATTAGCCCTAAATGCTTTATCAAACAATTTGTCTGTGTTAGTAGTAGCAAAAGTATTAACAAGACAGACTTGATCTTCATGGGGATACTTACTGGAGAAATTGCATCTGTCATAAGTAACCACTGGAAATAGATCTTAAACCCTTCCTGTAGGATTGCTGAGTAGCATAAACTTGTGTTGCATTATAGTTTGCATTGTTGACTTTGTGACCTGCCTGATATGCCACAGCCACTTGAGGTAAAGCAGTTCTATCTGTCTTCCGACTGGCAGTGCCCTTGTCTTGTCCTCTAACTTCATACAGTGCTGCTAAGATAACCGCATTCTTTCTGGTCATGAGCTCTTTGGACTAGTGCAGGGAAAACACACTTATTTTTAACCATGAGTTGCTCTTCAGCAAAATGTGATTAGGTGGGCTTGTTTTTACACATCTATTCTAAGAGCAGGTCCTCAGATTATGGAGTTTCTGAAGCAACTTCACCTGCTATGATGCCATCCTTTCACATAGTTCTGGGGAATTACTTTGCTTCATGTCAGCTTAGATCCTAGGCCAGCTATTGTTGAAGACAGTATTAAATGTTCGATTGCTGGAAGTGCTCAGAGCAAAGCACCTTCTCTTCAAGATTAAATTTCTCCCTAGTATGATGTCCTCCCTTGGGAGTGACAAAATGAACCAGGTGAACCTCAGTACGACAGCTGGCCATTAAATCTCTTCAGAAGAGAGTCCTTAGAAAGGTGTCATGGGGGATATACTACTTTATTACAATTAATTTTATTTGTAATAAAAGGGTACAGTTCTGCATTTGCTCGCAATATGGCACATGAGTAAGTGAGGAAAATTGTGAATCATGGCAAAGAACTTTTTTTCTAATCTGGGAGCCATATGCTACATGGGATGTGAGTGTTCTGGGCAACCAGAGACATGCACAGAAGGTAAATCATACTGCTCTTACACATGAGTAGCTGGTACTGCCTTTCCTCTCTCTTTAGGTCTAGTGTCCTTAAATAAGGAAAACTCCTCCAAGACACAAGGAGAAAAACAATGTGCTTATTGAAATTTCATAGTTATTTTCATTTCTGCCAATGAATTTTAAAATTACCTTGCATGCAAAACTGATGGATGTTCCCCCACAAAAATAAGAGTTGAGAGCCAAACACATATGCATTGCTGGGTGGTGTGTGTTATAAGCTCTTTGAGACCTTGATTGCCTCAGGAGTACTAATTCTCTTGGTGGTGGAAAAAGTGGTATTTGGACTACTAAGCTGCAATTAGAGACCAAATCAGTTGGAGCAGGAAAGGATGCTTGAGAAAGTTCCTTGTGAAAATCACTGGATAGTTAGTGGTAGAAGGGACTGTTAAAGGTCATGTAGTGCAAACCCCTTTCAGTGAGCAGGGAGGGACATCTTCAACTAGATCAGGATGCTTAGAGCCCCATCCAACTTGACCTTGCATATTTCCTGGGATGGGACATCCGGCCCCTCTCTGGGCAAACTGTGTTTCACCAACTGGTGTTTCACCACCCTCACAGTAAAAAAAAAATTTCCTATATCTAGTCTAAATCCATCCACTTTTAGTTTAAAGCCCATACTTATGACAGATCATGGTAAAAAATTTGTTCCCAGCTTTCCCATAGGCCCGCTTTAAGCACTGACAGGCTGCAGTTTTGTGTCGCAAAAGTCTGCTCTTCTCAAGCCTCCACAAGCCCAATTCTCTAAGCCTTTCCTTATAGGAGAAGTGTTCCAGCCCTACAATAATTTCACAGTCATTCATGAGAAATAATCACATATCTTATTCTGCATAAAACAAAGAAATAAATAGCAGTGATAGAGTTAGTAATTACCTCAACACCCTCCCAGAGCATTATCTGATCAGCAAATTTCAGCCATCTAAAGATGGAAGCAGCTAACCTACACTACAGGATGTCTAATTCCAAAGGAACTAACAAATAGGAAATATATAAATTCAATGGAAACTCTTTAATGCATAATTTCTTTGTGCCTACATCCACACACATCCACAGGATTCATAGTAGCCACCTGGAACACAGCCAAATGAAACCTTCTGGGCAAATCCAGATTTGCACCCTGCTTTCCCTGTAGTGCAATAATGCTCAGATGCCCTTTGATTTGTCAAGGGTTTTGCTGTGGTCTGTGAGTAATGTATCATACTTGGAGTTTGGCTCTGGATTCTAATTTCCCAGCAGTTAGGATTTGGTTCAGCGGTAGGACCAGGATTTGATTCAAGTTTATCTCCACTGCTAAATTGGCACAATTTATTTTTCCTGTTACCGGGCTGTTTTACTTGTTTCATTAAGCAGATGAAAAATAAATCATTGTTTGAGAATATATCCCATAAGAGATTTATGATTTTTTTTCTAAACCACAACAATATACACTTTTTATTTCTGTTGTTTTTCGCTTATCGTTTTGGTTTGAGTATGTGGCTATGATTGGTTACTTCACTTAATTCCAGTAAGTTTTCCTTGATGGATAGAAGTCTTCACATGGTTTCATTCTACAGTTTGGATGAACCTCCATTCTTGAATTAGATTTATGAAACTAGCACCTGTTACAAAATTTGTTGTCTCAGAATGTTTTGCAATATTGAATTGAAATTATATTTTGTCAAATACTCTTTCCAACTAATCTATTTTCTAAAGAAAGCTGGTCAAGTAAGAAAATACATAAGAGACAAGAGTTAAATTATTATTTAAAAGGGAATACAATGAGTTTATTTACAGTATTTAGTTGTATTCCCCATTTCTAGAAATCAGACATATGATGATGACCAGATGCATCTAGGAGCGACAGGGATGAAGGACAACACAGTCATCAGATTATTTGAAAATGACCATGTGTAATTATCCAAACAAATTATTGTTTCCCCAAAATTTCACTGTCAACATAAGTAATTAGCTCTAATTTTAAGAAACCATTTTTCTCTTTTTTTAATGATTCTTCAATCTTCAGAAAACAGAAAGTATTTTAAAGAGTTGGAAGATTTGTGGAAATTACCTTCAGAGAAAGTTTTGCACCTCTTACTATGAATTAGCACTGGTGTTGTTTATTAGAGTACTGTACACAGTTGGGAAAACAACAAATACTTTGACATTTATGTTTTTAGGATTTTTTGCTCTACGTTATGGAAAGAATGAGGTTGACTGGAAAGATGTAGTGTTGACAGGTTTTACTGGGATTAAAAAAAAAGGAAAACTTTTAGAGCAAATTACATTTTTCTGCATTTTTGCCACACTGAAATTTTGGGAAAAAACCCCAAAACAACAGTTCTACTAAGGATCTGATGTAAAAATCTACAAGTATGTCTTCAAAACAGGAATGTAATACAGTGAGCTTCCATGTCAGAATAGATATTTCAGTGTTTAGTGGCATTACAATGTGCTTCAGTGTTTAATGTATAAAATGTTCAATGTGCAAAGCCACTGTTGAAGCCACTGCAACCAGCTTCTGAAAATGGAAATTTGTCTAAGACGTAGCGATAAAGGACAGCAACCAGCAAATAACATTTTAAAGACTGAAGTATTTGGGAAGTATTTCCCATGACAACTGGTCATTGAAATCAGGCTTGCAGTGAAGGACTAATTTTCTCCCTTTTTGCTACTCTACCAGCTTCGTGTGCCAATGTTAGGTCTTCTTTCTCTTTGCTTGCAGGGTCAGCCTTTACAACATCTGATAACCTGTCCCTCAGTTCCTGGGTTTCCTCTTCAACCAGTTTCCCAGGATTTCAGCATCCACAGTCTTTGAGTGCCCTGGGTACCAGCACTGCATCCATAGCTACACCCATTCCTCATCCAATCCAAGGATCTCTGCCTCCGTACAGCCGCCTGGGAATGCCTCTGACACCCTCTGCCATAGCCAGCTCCATGCAAGGTAGCGGCCCCACTTTCCCTTCCTTCCACATGCCAAGGTACCACCATTACTTCCAGCAGGGTCCTTATGCAGCTATCCAAGGACTGCGTCACTCTTCCGCAGTGATGACACCGTTTGTATGAGTGACGTACGACAAGAGGAACACACGATTTTAAATGTGCAAGTTTGCTACGACAAAATACAAGGGACCTTCCCAAAAGGCCTGTGGCAGGAGTGCTGAACTCATGACAAACCAGCTGAAAAAATGCATTGTGGATACAGATTCCTCTTTTGAGGGATCACAAGAAGAGAGCATGCAGCTTGGAGCTGCTCACAGATCTATGTGTAACACAGCCAAAATGGATCCCAAAGTCCCCAGGATCTTTGGTCGCGTGCAGCTTGTTCCAAAGGTGCATTATACCTAGTGGAAAGAGATTATCTTTAAGCAGCAGTATACAAACTAATTGTCTATAGGTCTTTTTTCATATGCTAGATGAATTCTAAAAAAGGCAATACTCTTACTCATCTTCATCTCTTCTTGTGACTGATGAGCATCTAAACAGAAAAATGTATTGCTATAACTTTGAGCATGTTTTAGGCTATCTCAGCATACATTTGCTGAAAATAGGACAAAGTGGAGAAGAACACTGTCCTTTTTAAGACTGGCATATATTCACCAAAACCAGTATTTCTTAGTTGCTACTATAATCACAAAGAGAACGTTATTAACAAGTCTTTCTTTCTTTGTTTGTTTCTTTCACAAAACACTTATTGGTTCCAAAAAAAGAACTGTGTTACAGGGCTGTAGTAGTAATAATGTATTCTGTCCTTCAGTCTAAAAGGAAGTTTGTCCTATATCTGTCGGTTAAGATATAATGAAGAAAAATTTTGATTTGGAAAAATCTGTTACTTAAACTTAGAAACCAAGATTTCCCATTTTAAAGCAGTGCTTGTTTGCTGCTGTGTGTGCCACTGAAGACCTGTTTTCAGCTGCACATGTGAACCAAGTTAACCCAATTTCAGGCTAGATCAGTCTATAGATTCTCTGGATCAAACTATAATTAATGGACTGGTATGAGTGGCATTGGAGTATCTTTCCACTTGTTCTGATTTTGTTGGGTTTGGTTATGGCTGTTATTATAAAAGGCATCAGCTTGGCCAGGAAAACCAGTTTTTTCACATCCCACTATAATGGTTGAGTTTCCTTGGAAAAATATCAGTACAGAACTTCACATGAAAGTTTTTTGTTTTTTTAATTCATGTCTGACTTTTTTTCAGTTAGTATTTGGGGCTCATTCAAAGTACTGTCCCCTTTTCTAGTATGCTGTGTCTGATGCAATGGAGGAGCTATAGAGGCATAAGATGATAATGACCTTGTCTGCAGAGAGTTAGCATGAATCCTTTGCACTACTGGAAAGAGTACCAGTGTGATGTTGGTTTTGTCTGTGGCAAGAGCTGGGATTCCATTGTAAGTAATAAGTTGACACAGTTGCTGTGTTGAGTTGCATCCAAGCTATAGATGATAATACATCTGCTGACAAAAGAGAACTAGCATATATAATCTCATACATTACAGATCTCTGTAGAGCTGGAACACAAAACAGACTTATTGTCCTCTGCTTTTCACCATTCTGTATTGGTGTCATATTGTCTGTCATTGGTAAAAAGCAGAGTGTAGTACACTGAATCACCTACTTCCATCTCTGCAAAGTACAGGGCAAGGCATGTGCATCCCAGAGAAAAAGACCACCATTATGTAATTTCCAGTAGCTGAATTCATAATCTTCTCAAGCTGGCCGTTTCAATCACCTTTTCAACCAAGTTATCTGCAATATCACCCTAATTCCCCATGAATCACTGTTGGACCTGCTGATGAAAACTGACCTGGGCCAATTTGCAACTCCTGTGCTTTGTATGTAAATAAAAATGAAAATTTATTTACAATTCAGACCTGCTACAAGGAGTTCCATAAATTAATATAACATATAGCTCTGCAGTGTTTAAATGGCTCAGAATCAGACACTGAATTTGTCTTGGTGTACCCAAATATTAGATTTTGCTGTAGTCTATCAGATTCACAGGAAAAGTGCATGTTGCAAGATTGTTCCTACTTATAAGTGGTTTCAAGATAAACACCCTATTTTTCAGGAAATTAAGTGATACTGACCCTACAAGAATGTAATTCTTCAAGTAAACATGACTCTACAGAAACAATAATTACAGAAGAGGTTTGGAAGAAAGTTTGCTCTTCAGTTGTTTGACTTCTGTTAGAGTTGTATGAAGACCCTAGGATGACATGCACTAAAGCCTGTGGGGAAATTCTGTTTATTTTATCTGGTTCCTTCTGCAGCTTCATTTACTTATATGGAGTTCAGGGGATATGGTTAGGTTCAGAACTCAAGCCAGTAGTTTTACTGCTGATACTTCCATCAGGAAAAGGTCAAGTAAGTAGGCAACTTTTACATGACTCCAGAAACAAGTTTGAAACAGGTGGGCTGATTTAGACATGGTCAACATGTGACATAAAGGCTGCTCATACATCACCTTCCTTCATGAACCAAATTCAGAGAAACAAACCGCATAATCTTTTCAGCTCTGTCCCAGCCTCTGCTCTGAGAACACCAATATTTGACATGCAGAAATGCCCCTTATACTCTTTCAGAGAAGGAGAGAAGCACCACTCCTTGTGCTTCTCTCTGATGGTTGAATTCTTTTGTAGCAAAAACCCATTGGGTTGCCCACTAATGCAGAATCACAGGCAGGTCCCAAGCAAGGGAATGATGGCAGCTTGTGACAGATTTCCTCAGGAATGAGATCAATAGGAACGTCCATTCCTCACTTCCTCTTCTTTGCCCTCACAGTCCTACCTACAAAACCTGTTGCAGAGATTTGAGGTTAAAGGGATTAAGTTCACACAGGCCACAGGATGTCCAGCGAAGAGGTCTTGCCACCTCACTGTTTCTGCTCCATGTCCCTCTCACCTTCCTGTAGGCCTGGGGAAGCATGGGAGTGATTCCAGGAATAAAATTTCTACCCAGCTGAAGTCGAATGGAAATTTATTGACTGTAACGGGGGCAGGATTTCTTTCCACATTGTCATCTAAAAAATAAAGTCTGGCAGTAGGCAGAGTGACTTAAATGGCAGCAACAATATAGGAGCAGTACAGGAAAGATTAAAACTCACCTACAAATCAGTTTTAGCACTGAACTCACAACTGGAAGAAAATTAATGTGAATTTGTAATTAATTGGTTAAAGAGTGAAATCACTTTTGCTAAAAAAAAAAATAATTGTCTCCACCACTCCACCAGTTTGACAATAGCCCAGTAATTTATTTAGGGACTTGCTGTACTGCTGTCAAAATTGCATCACTTTCAGGACAGAACATCTGTTGTTGGTAGATGGGCTAGGAATGCCAAATACAATCTAGAATTTATTTTCCAAATACAATTCATGTTTTGTGTCCCATGAGAAGTGCTCTTCACCTTTATGAGCTTTTTTCTTGGCTCAGAAAAATGGAGCTGGTTTATGTTGTTTGATGTTGTTTGGGGTTTTTTTCTGGGTGGGGGGGGGAGAGCTGTTTGCCTTTTTTAAAGAAGAGTGGAGAGAACATGCCTGAATATGCTTTTCAAAGGGAATGATAAGATTTTACTTGGAAGTGTTCCAAGTATTTTTGTGTTTTTCCTGTATTACCATTTTATCCATAGATTATCAACACCCTCCAGTCTTTAATTCAACAAAATCATCCCATATATTAACAAAACTGATTTGGATATATTTGTCTGAATATTTTTTCTTCTACTTTTGGAGCCCTGAGAATCTAAACAGAAACCCTCCCATTTTTAATTTCTCTTTGGTTTGCAGCATTGCTTTGTATGGCCTGAGGCACTGTCAAAGATAGAAAATCGATGCCACTGGGTTTCAGTCGTACTCTTCTGGGTGCAAACAGAACAACAAGCATAGACCAAGTAGATAAAGGTAGAGTTCCTAATGGAAATGCTTCTTCATGAGTCCAAGGATGGTAGGTTGTATGGTAGCTAACATTCTTGGTACCACAACCTTCAGAACGCAATTGCAGAATTTCTCCCAGACAGTTTTACCCATGGAGGCCGGGACACTGCATCAACATGTACACGTGTAAGAAGATGTTGCCATTTCCAACATCCAGCAAACACTAACTGGCACTTGAAAAGGACCCTTTTTTAACTGAAAAGCATTTGGGCTGGCAACTTCATTATGTAGTACATTCTCTTTATATGTGTGTACTATACAGAAACAGATGTATCAATGAAAATTGTTGCAAAAACTTGGGATAATTTCCAAAGTGTAAGTCAATATAAATTGTGGTAATTTACTCCAAGATAAGGTTAAAAGCAATAGTGAAATCAGTGTAACACTTATGGCTTCTTGTCCTGAGGAACTTGTGGCCACAGTGCATATACTCATCATCTGCAGGGGGATGACACTCACTGCAAAATTAATTTTGATTTTAGTGAGATTTTATTCTCACTATTCTTTACAGAGCATTTCTGCTGCAGGAGATGTGGTTTCTTCACTAACCACCTACTTACCAGCCAGAGGATTTATGTATTACTCTGTAATCAAATGTCCTTGCATATAATCTCTAGATTATCAGATGACAACTTCTTTTTCTTTATTTTATCTTTTTAAGAGAAAACTAAGCAGTGAATTAAATAAGCTCTGAAGTAACTTTTTATGATAGTTTAAGGACAAAAAATACAGTTTGCTGTATTTTACCTTTAGCACATTTAAACAATCTTTTTCTTTTTAATTGTACCTTCAGAAACATGAGGAAAGATTTGGTTTAAAAACAAGGAAGGTAAAAAAACTGGATGTAGCCTCTTTAACAGAATGTACCACAGTTCTTCTGTTTGCTGTGTTGACTTTGTTGTTTATATTGCATTGCGTGAGCACATTCACCATGTACCGAAGTGTGTGTTTGTGTGTATGGGGTGGGGGTAGAGGGAAATCTTTTTATGGAAAAAAAAGTCGTGAACATAAACTATGAAGCAACATCTAACGAAAAGTTTCTTTTTAAGTGCAATATATTTATTTCTGCTAGAAATATAATATCAACATTATGTAATATTTGAAGCATTAAATGTTATTTGTAAACAGCTTAAAATTATATATATATCACAAAAACTGTACAGAAGTGCAAATGTGTGGATATTCAGTTTCTTTCATTAAAATATTGGGTGTTTTGATATATCATTCTTATTTAGCCAAATCTTTCTGCTTCTGGTTTTTTTTCTTCTAACCAAGTTGCTGAGTGCAGTGGAACCAGTCACAGATGTTTCTGATAGTACGCAAAATTTGCTAGGGTTGCTCATCTACAAAAGGTGGTCTAAGTCTTGGATTCATATGGAGTGATAGTTATCCTCTAGTTAAATATAACTGTAGTTTGCATGGAGTTACACAAATTATTTATTTTTCAAAATGCTTTGCAATCATATCCATAAAAACTCCTAGGTTTGCCAGCAAAACTCAAATAAATGGCTGAAATATGGGGTTCTCAGCGTCCCCAAGATAGTAAATACAGACCTAGGAAACACAGTATAAGAAGAGAGTGGAATTAGCTCTGTTAATTCAGGAGAAGTGGAGAATGTAAAGAACTGAGGAGTAAATTCCTTTCCATAAATGCTGCAGGGTATTTATTCAAAAGGATTTTATTTCAATTATAATGGCATATATTAAAGCAAGAGAGAGTTACCTGAGACTCTATCTAAGGTATTCAAAGAGGAAAGACAGTGACACACAGTACAGGATTACCTAGAGAGTATAAGAAGCAATACCTATCATTCAAGGTCTTTTAGAACAGGTTGAACATGCACTACTCAAGAATGATGTGATTAAAGCTAATCTTGCCTTAGGACAATCAAATGATCTCTTGAGGTGCTTCCAAGCTTCCTGTAAGAGCCATCCCTTAAAGCAGCTCTGACAAAATCCTCATGTTGCTCCAAAAGTTTTTGTTATGCACCCATAGTTTATCTTGTTCCCAAATTGAGATCAGCTGCTGGGTGTTTTGCAACTAGGTCACAAGATCCCTGGTTTGCAAAGAAGCTCAGTGGGATGGAAGAACTGTGAGGTTCCAAGGAACAGCAGCAGCAGCAGCAGCATCGTCTTGGTTTGTGAATGTAAGCAAGGAGATAAGAGCCTCAGGTAATTCAAATCTACCTTGAACTACGCTAAATTGCAACCATGCATTAATGTATCTCACTAACATTTGGAATGTATGAAAATTAGGACAGATTGCTGAGTTAGTAACTCCATATGATGCCTTTTGTCTCTGTATTATATTTTTATGGCATCTTGGTAGCAAAACACCTGCATTCTCTCATGGATATTCAATGCTGTGAAAGTCTTTTGCTTAACCTCAGGCTAAGGGGGCTTTCTTGATTACAAGTAACACCAAACACGTGCACTGGCACTTTCCTGAAACAGAACTCTTGGCTGTACATTGGCTCAAGGCATGGCTATGCCAATGGCCCCATTGAAATCAGCACCCTTGCTTTGCATAAAGTTAAATCAGTGCTCAAGCGTTGCAGTGGCTCTGCAACAGCAAAACTCCTCGTGCTGTGCAGAATCAAGACCTTTGGGAACAAGCTGTCTGTGCAACACCTCTATAATAGGAGCCTTTATTTGCTATTTTCCAAAGAGAAACTCGGGGAGCAAACAAAATGAAGATTCTGAACTGTCTCCCGGTAGGGTTATTTTGAAGAGACTGATGAGTAGTCATGATGACTGTAGGCTGCCTTGTGTATCACATTCAGAAAACAGATTTATATCCAAATTATCTATCTTGGAGATAAGCAGTGCAGAAAACAAATTATTTGGAGAATGCTATCTTCTAAACTTCCTGTGCAGGAGCACAATGAATCAATGATTTAATGGTATACTTGAAATACAGAGCAATAAACAATATTTTGAATTGTGATCATTTCAAATACACATAAAATATTAAAATTATACACCAACAATTCAATACATAAAAACTAACAATAATCACTAATAATAACTCTAGAAAAAGAACTGACAGTGGTCTAATTCTCAAGATCTTTATTAAGTTAGTCATTGATGTCAGGGTTGGTCAGTGAGGCTCTAGGAACCTTTGCAGGCAGTATAGAAGCTGGTCCTTGTTCTCCAGAGTAATAACCAGAGGAACCAAGAAAAATCTATGGGGATGCCTATCAGAAAAGTTGGACAGAGAGGTTTTTTTTGAAGAGTACAATAATACTTTCTCCCAATGCAGAGAGTATTAGATATATCACCATTGTCACATTTTTATCTCTGTTAATATAAAATATAATTTGACAATCAGACACATAAAAATCCAGTATTTTTAAGGCTTTTTAGGATGGAAAATAGGTCTATTGCAGGAACTGCATTGACTAACCAATTTGATAAATTAAAATTAAGCAGCCATTCTCAAGAAACAATTTTTGCCTTTTGCTTGACTTTGAAATTGCTTTTATTTCCATTGTGAAGCCTGCCAGGAATATATGCAGTAATTTGGAGTGGTTTAAGGTGTTGTGTCCTAGAGAATCTCCTGGGTTTGAGTCATGTTTTCACAAACTCCATGAGCACCTCTTTCAAAGGCTTGTGTTCTCCAGTGTTTGGGGAAGGGTAGTTGCAGAAATGGTTGTGAACTGAATGGTTGTCCTTCAGCTAGCTCTTTGCCTGTTTAAATTACCAACAATTGCGAATAGCTCAAAGAGTAAGATGAATTTAAAAAGGGAAAATGCTTGCAGCTGAATCTGTAATTGATGATATTTGGAACAAATAATCCCCCAAAACGTGAAGTGATAACGTTTCCAGTTCCTTGAAAAGCTGCGTCTCTTCTCTATTTAGATGCTTAATTTTGGTCAGCTGTTCTGAGAGAGTCAAAGAAGAAACAAAGCATATAACAAAAAACCTGTGTCAGAAGTCACCAATTCCATTTAATTCCCTTCACATCAGTTAAAATGCCTTAAGACAGAGACACAGGTAAAAAGCACAAAAATCATTTTAGACCTTGTCACCTTAAACTAGAATGATTTCTGTGCTTTTTACCAGTGTCTCTGTCTTAAGGCATCTTAAATGATGTGAAAGGAATTATATGGAATTGGTCAAGTTCATGCTTTCGTTCCTTCTAGTCTGCACTGTCTTCCAGTCTGCTTCTAGGGACAATGCATACACAACTTTAAGTATAAATACTAAATCATTTAGGTATTTGGTGTCATCAGAAACAATCCTCTCTTTGAGTTCTCGCAGAGGTGGAGTAAATTGTGATGCTTAAACTGGCAGTCTGTTCTTCATAGGGGTCACTGAAAATGGACTGCTTTCAATCAGAGTTTTTTTTATTGAAAATCCCACTTGATTTTCTGAAGTAAGAACTCTGTGGTGTTCACTGGTCTTCACTCTGGTGTAAAAGTCGAGTGTGGGAAAGCAGTTTCTGTTTCTCTTAAAGACATGGTTGATACATCATCACAAATCAATTATTATTTCTTCCTGTGCTCTCTCATGGATTGATCCCAAGGCAGCCAAAGGAGGAATTAGTTTTTATCTTGATGCAAATTGTAGCCTGTAAGATTTGCATTGATAATATCTGAACATGTACCGAGGGCTTTGGAGTGTCAGGTTTCAATTACCTTCCCTCTGAATGTCATAGCTTTCCGACTTGAGACACCAGTCATACAACTCATCTCCAATGATATTACAAATAAGTTAGATGTACTCAGGGGATTTATCAGCCTGACTTTATTTAATCTCTCCATTTTCAGTTAACATAGTCACCTCAAACAGTACATTTCCAGAGGATTATTAGATTGTTTCAGATGGTTAAAGACTTTGGCCTTCCTTGCTCCTTCATTTTACAATGCACTAGGAATTTTTGACTGAACATACAAAAGTCTAACACTTGTGCTCCCATAATTTCCTTTACCAGGCTTCAAATACCTCTGAGTTCTTAAATGAATTAGTATGTGTTGTAGAGCCTATCGAGCACTCAAGATAACTTGGCATGGTTTCCAGTAGTTCTGGACAGACAACTACTTGTGTTTTCAGTCACAGAAAATGTTTTCTTTCCTATATAGCTGATGAGGGCAAAGACTAACAAGGAATATTATAGGCTCATATTTCAAAGCCATTATAAAGGTAGATGCACAGCTCACACTAATTTTAGCAAGCCTCCTGTTTCTGAGTCCTATACAGAAAGTCTTTGCTATAGTGTTTGTTATTTTAAAAGGTTTATGGTTTTTTTCAGAGACCAGCCTAAACATTTTAACATTTGTTCCTGAATTATTTTAAAGCCTCTTTTGCTCCATGCCATAATATCATGCCTTTGTTCTTCTGTTCTTTCAACCTTGGCCAAACTGTTAGAGAACACATGGATACTTCCTTTCCATTTGCTAATTCAATAATAAGAGAACTCATGTGAACTGAAGAGGTTAATTTACTTTTTTCTTTGTGGAGTTTTGGATGTGGTTGTTTTTTGTTTGGTGGTTTGTTTTTTTTTTTTTGGGGGGGGGGGTCCTATTCTTCAGAGCTTAGTTCTTTTTTACTTCACTTATAGAAGACTAGTCTATATATTTATCTCAAAGGCAGAGTTACCATCATGACAATATACCCAACATTGAATTTTGCTGTCCAAAATTTGAGGCACAGGCTTGAGCTGTCTTGACATAAAAGAAATCAGAATGTAAAATGACACTGAGAGGCATCAGAACAGCACACTTTTACCACTGCCAGGAACTCCCACCCTGCTCCTGAGCAGCTGCTGCCATTCTGCATGCAAAATTTCCCCAAGAGCAAAAGCAAAATGTTTTCCTCCTCAGGGCTTTGGTATAGGCAGCAAAGCAGGCATCAGGTTTGGGACTGGTTTGTCCCCACCTTGCCTACAAACACATAAACACGCAGAGTATTTGATGCTGAGGAAATGCCTCGTCAGCTTGTGCCCAGAGCCACTCAAGGCTGTGGATTCCCCGAGTGATCTAAGAGCTCAGAGCCTAAGATCTGCAACGTACAAGTCTCTCTTTCACCCACACAAAAACTTATGGCTTAGAATATTTTTAACACTTGTATTATTCTGGAAATATGAATCCGCAGTGCAGCTGCAATGAGATGGACTTTTTCACCAGAATGGACACACTGGAAAATCCAGAAAGATGTAAATAGCAATTGTCCGGATGCAACAGCAGAAATAAATTGGAAGCTGATCATAAGATCCAAGTGGGTATTTAGAGTTAGTGT